CGCCCCACCGCCCGCAGCCTCCGTTGCTTCTTCCCGCTTTCTGTCCCCCCTCCCTTCTCCGCTTCCTCCCGGGCTGCCCGCCTCCGGCCTCTGCCCCCTCCGCCCACTCCCTCTTCCCCCGCTTCCCCGCCGCCCCGTTCCCGTCCCTCTTCTCCCCGCGGCCTCCTTCCCGTCGTCTCGGCCCTTGCCCCCCCTTCCCCCCCCTTTCCTCCCGTCGTCCTGCTCGCGCCCTCCCCGTCCTGGCTCCTTCTGCTCTTCGCTCTTTCCGCCTGGGCTCCGCGCCTGTCTCGCCTTCTTCGTTCTTCTCTTTTGTTTTCTTCCTTCCCGCCCTCCTTGGCCCCTCCCCCGCCCGTCCCCCCTGCGTCCTCCCCCCCGTCGCGCCTGGTCCGCTTCCCTTCCCCCTTTTGTTCGTTCGGGTTTGCTTGTGTCGTCGCTCTCTCCTTCGGCTTCCCCTTCTCGTTGGCTGCCCTGCCTTGCTGCTCTTGCTCCCCCCCCCCGCCGGTCGGTCCCGCTCGGCCCTGCCCCGCCCCCCCTCGTCCTGTCCCCTTGGCTCGGTTCGCTCTCTCGTCCTTCGGCCCTCCTCCTCCCCCGCTCTCCTCCCTTCCTCGCGTTGTTCCCCCGGCTCCCCCGGCCCGTTCTTCCTGGCCTTCCTTGTCGGCTCTCTGTCCCCTCCTCGTTTGGCCGCGGGCTTCCCCCCCCTCGTCCGCTCCCCGGTGCTGCCGCCTCCCCCCCCCGCCCTGCTCGGGCCGGTCTCGTCCTGCTCTGCCTGCCCCCGTCTCGCCTCCTGGTCCTCCTCTCCGCCCCCGCGCGTTCTCCTGTGCTTCCCGCCCTGCCGCGCTCCGCCTCTTCTTGTCCCCTTCCCCGGGGCCGCTTCCCTCCCGCTGCGCTCCGTCCCTGGCCCTTCCCTTCCCTGCCCTCGCCTCCTTGTGCGCTCGTCCCTCTTGTCCCGCGGGCGTCTTTCGCGTCTCCCGCCTCCGTCTCGCTCTCCTTCTTCTGCCGCCGCCCCGCCCTTTGCCTTCGTCTCGCCGTCCGTGCTCCTCCTTTCTTTCTTCTTTTCCTTGTTGCTGTCCCCTCCTGTTCCCTTCCCTCGCCCCGTCGTTCCCCCCCGCGCTTCTCCTCGCCCTCCCCTTCCCCTTTCCTTCGCGTCGCGGTCTCTCCCCTTCCCTTTCCTCGTTGTCGCCGCCGTTGTTGGCCTCCCCCTTTTTCTCTTCCCTGCCCGCCGGGTCCTGGGCGCGTCCCCCCCGCGTCGTCGCTCCTCTTCGCTGCGGGCCCGCGCCGCCTCCCCTCGCCTCCTTCGCCTCCCTCGTTTTGCTTCCTTGTTGTCTTGGCTTGCGCTCCCCCGGTTCTTTCTCGCTCTCGCTCCTCGCTCCCCGGCTGGGGCTTTTTCCTCTGTCCCGCGCCCTCGCCCGCGCCTCGCCCTTCCTCGTTTTCGCCTCTCGTTGGCCGCTTGTGTGCTCCCTTTTTCTTCTTCTCGCTCCTTCCCGCTCTTTTGTGCCGGCCCCTCTTCCTGCCTCTCCTGCGTTCCCTGCCCGTCCCCCGCCCCCTTGCTTTTTCTTTTCTTCCGGCCCCCGTTCCTTCGCCCCTCGCCCCTCGCTTCCCTCCCCCCCTCGCCGCCCTGCTTTTCCCCCCTTTCGTTTTTGCCTTTTGCCTGCCGTTCGCCCCCCCGTTCTCTTCGTTTCCTCCCGCGTTCCTCCCCGCCTCTGTTGCTTGGCCTGGCGGGCTGGCTCGCTGTTCCCGCTGCTGCCTCCCTTTCGTTTTCTCTGCCTCTGCCTTTCTCTTTGTTCTCCCCCGTGTCTCTCTCGCTTCCTCCCCCCTTTCCCTTCCCCTTCTTTTTTCCCTTGGTCTTTTTCCGTCTCTTCCTCTTTTTTGCCCCTCGCCCCTTCGGTCCCTGCTTTCGCCCCCTCTGTCTCCCCTCCCTCTTTCCTTTCGCCCCTTCCTGCTTCCTCTCCCTCGTTCTTTTGGTTTTTTCTTCGCCGCTTTCCTCTCCCCTCCGCTCTCTTTCTTGGTCTGCGCCCGCTCCGCCTTCTTTCCCCTTGCCCTCCCCTCCCCCGGTTTGCCCTGCCCCCTTCCTTCCCCGCCCTCTTTCTGCGCTGCGGCTTCCGTTTCTGTCTCTTCGCTCGTTCCTTCCCGTTCCTTGCCGTCGCGCCCCTTTTCCCTTCCTTGTCCCTTCTTGGTCATTGCGCTTCCTGTCCCTTTGGCTTCCTCTTTTCGTCTGCCTCTTCCCTCTTTTTTCTCCTTTCCCCCCCTCCTTGCCCTGCTTGCCGTTTTTCTCTTTGGCCTCGTGTTCGGTCTCCTTCCTCTTCCTTTGGCTGGCTTCTTCGTCCCTGCCTCTTTCCCCCTCCAGGCGTGGTGCTCCGTTGGCCCTTTGCTTCCTTCCCGCGCTCTTTTTTTTTTTGCTTCTTGCCCCCTCTTTTCTTTCCTCCCCCGGCGGTCCCCTTCCGCTTGCTGTGCCCGTTCCTGCCTCTCTTTCCGTCTCCTTCCTCTCCGCCGCCCCCCTCCCGCTCTGTCGGCTTTGCCCCTCCGCCCTTGGGTTTTGGCGCCCCCCGTTCTCCCGCCCTGCCCTCCGCGCGCTTTCTTCTCCGCCCTCGCCTCGCTCCGCCTTTCCCGCCCCAGCTTCTTTTCCTCCTCCTCCTCTTTTGCGCCTCGTCCTCGCCGCCTCCTCTCCTCCCCCTGCTCGCTTCTGCCCCTTTGCCGCGCTCTCCCTTCCTCCCCCGTTCCTGCTCCTTTGCGCCGTCCTCGGTCGGGCTGCCCGGCTTCGCCCCCGTGCCATTTTGTCCCCCCCCCCCGCGCTCCCCGCTGCGCCCCCTCCCTTCCCTTGTTCCCCCGTGTCCTTGTCGCGCCTTCCTGTCTTGTTTTCCCTTCTCCTTCTCTCTCTCCCTTTTTGCTCTCCCCTTTTTCTTCTCCTTTCGTCTTTTTGGTCTCCTGTCCCTCTCCTGTTCCCTCTCCGCCATTGCCCTCTCCCTCCTCGTTCCTCCCGCCCCTACTTCTGTTCCCTCTCCGCCTGCCCTCTCCTCTCTCGTTCCTCCCTCCATCCCTACCCGCCTCGTCCGCCCCGCGTTTTCCTCTCGCTTCGCTCCCCCCTCTCCCCCTCCCTCGTCGTCCCCCCTGCGCCTTTTTTCGGCCCTGCTCGGTCCGCGGGGGCCTGTCTTTTTTTCTGTTTTCTGCCCCGGGCCCTCTTGTTCCG